TTGCTGGCTGCAGCCACAGCTTCTGTGCTTTTTTTACTACGCACATTTGTGTGTGTGTTAGCTGCATTTGAACTTGGTATGCACAAGACTGAGCTGTGTCTGGGAGCCACAGCTTGTATCAGACTTGCCCCTACTATGTCTGGCAATAGCTTGGTTGCTTCCCTGGGATCAACTTTTCCTGGTGTGTCTGGGCCTTGGTCTGTGGCAGGCATTTTGTGTGTCCCCAGTATGGGGACACACACCTGCCACTGGTGTAGGAATTGTGTTTTGTTCCTGTGCCTGTGCCTTGTTTCTGATGTTCCGTGGGTGCCAGCTGTGCTTGGAGTGACCCCTTGGTGTTGGCCATGGCCCTGTGTCCCTGTTTGCGGATGAGGCACAGGTTGGCCAGACCTCAGCTTATGGCAGTGGTGACTAGGGGACTCAGGTTGCTAGCCTGAGCCTATGTTCCTATGATGTGTGGTCCTGCAGCATCATGAGGGGTGGCCCTGATGTGTCCCAGTTGATGAAGTTGTGGGAGAGAAGGCCCCAGAAGGTCATTGTGTGGAGCCCATTCAGCAATTGTAGCTGGTGGCCTCTGGGGGAGGCAGGGCATGATGCAGTCCAGGAGCACGGCCCATGGGAGGAGACCCAGCACCAGGGCTACTGGCCTGGGCCTCTTGTGGTGATAGTGGCTTGCCTGGCCCTGCAGAGACCCTCATGCCACCTGACTACATGGGCGCAGTTATATCCTGTTTGTGGGGTACACGTGGTCATATCATAGGCACTGCCGGCTTGCCGCCCAGATCTGCTGGCATGGTCTGGCAGGAGCAGATGGTCTGTCAGTTCAGTGTCTTTTGTTTAAAGTGGGTGCTTTTAGAGTTGGAACGGTCACTTGCCGTAGTGGCTCAGTGCTGGGGAGATTGCAGGCTTTCGCTTTCAGCAGGCACGAGTGTCCAGGCTGGAGGCTGCTGGGCCAGTTGCCCAAGTTCTTTCTGCCCACTGCTTTCAGGAGCTGCTAGTTGTGTGAGAAATGCTGTCACAGTGTGTGTTTCCGTCTCCTGACAATCCCAGGCAGAGTGTGGAGGAGGAGTGTGAGTCTGCTGTGGGGGGCTGTGGGCGCCTGCAGGACCCCCGCCTGTCACCATGGACATCAGTGGTTTCCATGGTAAACGTCACTTCGGTTAGTGCAGTGGCTGCCAGCAGGCTTCAGTGCCCACAGGACAATTGCTGCTGGCCCCAAGTGGGTCCTTGTCTAAAAGTCAGGCACTGAGTGTCTTGTCACCGCCAGCAGGGGGTAGTGGCCCTCAGTGCTGCCTGCGATAGAGCAGGCCAGGCAGTGACAGCAGTAGATGGCCTTCTCCAACTGCTTCCATCTGATTGCCCGCTCTCCCAAGGTGCCTGAGCCTAGAGCCAGACAGTGAGTCAAGTGGGCCACAGTCTCGCCTGGTGAGTGAGAGGCTGTGTCCTAGATCACAAAAGTATGGATTCAGGTTGTGGAGCGTGACCCGAGCACCTGCAAAACTGAATACTCAGGGCCACATTGGGGCTGGGGGTCACACCATGGCCAGTCCTGTGCTTGCCAGGGCCCTCTGCCATCAGTGTGCATTCAAACAAGGCTCCACAGGCCGTGAGCAGTGTGGGTATGGAACAAAGATAGACACAGACGGACAGACACAGCCTGGTGTCTGACCGCACTCGCTGACAGACAGACCTGGGCCACTTCCTGGGCCCACCCCAGGCTGCCTCCCAGCCCCTCCACAGGCTTTCCCAGCAGAGCTCAGCGCCATCTGCCCTATGGCTTCTCCACCCCTTCCTTTTATTTGTCCCTCCTGTCACAGACCAGCTCAGATCTCATGAGTGGCTTCCAGGCCAGAGCCTCTCCGTTCCTACCAGAGGCCCCCATAATCCTGGGCACATGTAGGGCGGCTGACCTATACCTGTTCAACTGCTCTGCACTCTAAACAAAAGGAATTCTCTTTCCTCTCTCTCCTCCCCTCTCCTTTCCCTTTCTCTTCCCCTCTCCCTCCCTCCCTCCTCTTTCCTATCTCTCTCCTGGCTCCCTGCCTTTCTCTCTGTCTCCTTTCCTCCCCTCCTAACTTCCTTCCTCTCCCTTCCCCCCTCCCTCCATCTCTCTCTTTCTTCCTCCACCCCTCCTTCCTTCCTCCTCCTCTCCCCCCCTTTCTCCTCCTTCCTCTCCACAGCCCTGTCCCTTCAGAGGCTCTTGTGTTCCCAATAAACCTGTCCTTATTCCTTCCGTCCAATCTGTCCTGTGTGTTTAAACAGGAATAAATGAGGGTGGGGGCCCACTCAGGCAAGCACGCAGACTGGCTGTGGGGTCCAGGCTGTCTCCTGGCTGTTTTATGAGCCAACAAGCAGGCCAGTTTGGCAAGAGGGATTTGAGGCATTTGAGGCTATTGCGTGGAAACAGTACCAAGTCCTGAATGGTGCTGTGTTCTGGTGCATTGCCACCCACGCTGGCCACAGAAAGCCCCTTTCTAGCCCCAACCATGGACTGCCCATCGCAGGTCCCTCCTGGAAGCCCCTCTGCAATATAGGTGCCCTCAGCTTTTCCAGGGGGTGGTAGGGAAGATGCCATCAAACAAGCATGCACATGACTTTCTGTTTTGATCTTGTCATATAATAAAAGTAACTGACGGATCCCACAGACACAAGTCTGGGGATTAAATACCTGCAGCCCACACTTCATTGGTACCAAGTCCCTTGCTTTCCACAGCTTCTTACTCAATTAGGGTGGGTAGGCATTTGGGCAGACAGAGCCCAGCTCCTTCTCGGGATGCTGGCCCATCCCAGGCCCCTAGGGAAGTGTGACAGCCACCTCAACACCGCCTTGGCCTCCCAGCCACCTCTTCATCCTCTGCTACCTGCCTACAGCTGTGGTTTATTCAGCTTCCCCTGGTAGCCATCCCGTTCTTCAGGTCCTATTTTCTCTTAGCCCATATACCCAGAAGTCTTGATCTCAGTGTGCGTTTCAATAAAAACGTCATTATTTGAAATCATCCACACTGCTGGTGTGAGATAACAAATTCCACCACCTATTGTCTGGAAAACGATCTATTAGAGATAAAGCACCGCTCGATAAAGCTCTTCCGTGAGAACAAGCCACCCTGGTCCTCCACAGACCCCATCTCCAGTGCGTTTGTGTCTGTTGCATAAAGGTGGCTGGTGTGGAACAGGCGGGGGTGGCTGCCTCAGGATGAGGCTTCTCAAAGAGGGGTTGGGATGTTCCCCATGGAACAGGGCCGGCAGCATTCAGGCATTAGGTAGGCTCAGTGACTCAGGGTGGGTGTTGTACAGTGCACATTGAGCCTCCTTTTTGTAGCAACGACCAAATTGGGGCACAGAGGAACTGGCCCAGCAGTATGGTGGAGCTTTCCCTCTTTCCCGCCTGAACCTGCTGGGGACTTCTGTGTGTGTTTCCTGTTCCCTTGGAGTGTGTGGGTCAGTCCATGTCTCCCTGTCCTTCCCTATGACAGGTTCTGTGCAGTCTTCTCCAGGTAGGCTGTGAGTGGTAACAGCCCCCATACTCTCACTCAGTGGCCATGTACTCCAGTGTCTGTGGCTCCTGTGCCGCCTGTTTGTCCTGGTCTCAGACTTGCTGTCTTGTGGACCAAGGGCACCTTGAACCACTGTCTGCCCAGGTGCCTTTCCTTTCATCTGTATCGCTCTAGAATGTCCCATGGGGTGGCCACCTGTCCAGGTCACCCTCTCCTCCTTGTGGAGCGCTAGAAGCCCTCCTTTTCTGATTCAGCTGCACCAGTGCCACCCTGCTCGCAGCACATGAGGTTGCCTCTCATGATTTCCTTTGACAGTCTGCTGGCCTGTTGTCACTGTCATGCAGAATCACTATTCCTGTTTTTGTGGGCGGACTTGCCTGCTGGCCAGAGGGGCTTTGGGACAGGTATCCGCTGCCCTCTCTGCTCTCCTCCCGTGCCCCCATTGCTGGGAACATTGACTGACTGGTCTCACTAGCAAGTAGCCTTAGCTACTTGCTAAGATGTGCCTTAGCTCCCCTGGATCAGAGCTCGTTTGTGGTGAGGGGTTTCTGTCTCCAGACCCCAGAGCAGGACTTTGCCTGAGAAGGCTCTGTGGTCTCTGTGAATGTCTCTGTGGTACAGAGGAGGTTTTTTGTAGTCACTCATCTTCTGGACCTTGGTGGACTTGCTTTAGTTCTCTCCAGTTTCCTAAGGAGATCACACTATTGTTCCTTTCTCATGTTGACTCCTCATTTCATTTTCTTGGCATGTTCTGTTGGCTAGTGTCTTTGGTGCAGAGCTGATGTGTGGCTGTGATGAGCTGCCTTGCTCCCAACTTTCCTGAAGTGCCTCTTCAGCCTTATTATTAAATATGACAATGGGAGGGTCCCTCCTTGTCCTAGTTGACTAAGAAGTTTTCTACTGAATGACTTGGAATTTCATACAGATTTTTGTTTGCTGCACTGCCTGTGTAAGCTTGAGGATGAATTCTTCATGGTCTTGCAGTACCCTCTCCTCTGCTTCTGATCTGCTAATCCATCACTTAGGACTTTTACATTTGTGTGAGACTGGCCTGTCACTGTCTGTGTCCTTGTCTACGGATGATGGGCTTCCCCATTCATTCATCCCTTCATTCGTCCACTCAAAACATTCCAGCTTCATAAAATGAGTTCTGTACCGCCCAGGCTTCTCCCTGCTCAGCACCCTGTGTATAAGTGGGTGTTCCCCTCCAGAGTAAAGGAAGGGGCACACCAGTAAAACTATGCAGGCCCAGTGCCTTTTCCAGAGGGAGGTCTGTGACCTGGACTCCTCAGGACTCCTGACTGCTCTGGTTGGGGCAGGACCTGTATCACCTGAGGCTTACATTATGTGCTATGGGGCAGGACTGTCACTCACTTAGCTGTGTCCTCAGCGCTGGGACATTCTTCAGGCAATTGTCATTTCACACGTAGCAGAAAGTACCATACACAGAGGCCTCCAGAGCACTCGGTCCCTTCAGCAGATGGAGCCTGTCCTTTTGCTCACCAGGTGCCTGAGCTTCTCTGGGCCTTTCCACTGCGAGGTCGGAGGAGTAGAGCAGAGGGACCACCCTGGCCTGGCTCAGAGGTGGGGCTGTGGCAGGTAGGGAGCTTGCTGGAGGGGCTGTCGGATTCAAGGAAAGTCTACCCTGATGTTACTGTCTTGCTCAGCCTGTGTGGACCATTGGGCAGTGTGTGGAACTCTCCCTGAGGCATGGGGCCAGGGCTGTGGTGGCTTCATGTCTGAGGGTTGTCATGATATGCCCATCACTAGGGTCCCTGGTGCCAAATGGCATTTGGGTCCATTGTGACCTCCTGGGCTACTGGTGGGCAGCTTACTCCTGCTAGGGGCTTCCAGCATGGCACCTGCCCTGGCTCCTCCAGCAGGATGTGTGTGGGCTTCACCTCCTTGTTTCTGTGTCCATCATGGTCGCTGTTAAATGGCGCAGTGCCGTCTGCCTGGGCCTTGTGCAGACACTGTGAAATTAACTTGCTCACCCCACAGCCCGTGGCAGGCTGGACTGACATTTCCAGAGGGCTCCTGCGCAGACTGCTCTTGGCACCTGGCCGCGACAAGGCGGGAGGCGATGAGTGCTTTCGCCACCACTGCCTAATTGCGGAGCCTTGTGTAGTATGCGCTGTTGTGCTGCTGTTAATAGCAGAAGATCCCCTGAGTCTTAAGGAAGGAATGCTGAAATGATGGTCTCCTGTCCCTGGTGCTAAGCAAGATGGGCTCCGGCAGGGGCTGCTGCCCAGGGCCACATGAGCATAGGCAGTCAGGAGCTCAGAGCTCTGAACTGAGGGCCTTGGAGCATCACCACCCCTTCTGTAGGGAGAGGGGCCAGGAGTGGCCTCTTCACCATGCATGCTGCCTCCTTAACAGGGGCTGCCAGCAGGTGTGAGAAGATGGGGCCTTGGTACAGGTGTGGTGACGTCCACTGCCCTGGATTAAAGCCCCAGAGTGCCAGCTGTATCCTGAGACCTTGCCCTGTGGCCTTACCTGCCCATGGCCTGGAGGAGGGCAGTTTGAGGGGTAGGCCTGATTCTGGCTCACCCACTACGCTACCCTAATCTCTGAGGTCAGAGCCAGTGTGCCACGCAATAGCAGAAAGAACCCCTGGGGGCCCCAGCCAGGTGGGGAACAAGGACACAGAGATGTGATCTGCACACTGTGTCTCTAACTGGAATTCCCAGCCCAGCCCTCTCCTGGGCAGTGCATCACTCCCCCCCCCAAGGGGGGTCCAGCACAGCCAGATTCTGGGCCACTGAGGCAAGAGGACATGGTAAGGCAGTGCCAGGAGTCTGAGAAGGAGGCCAAGCCTGTGTGGCCTGGAGCCCTGTTGCTTGCTGTCACCCTTATGACAGATGGCTCCTGAGCAGGTCCCTGCTCCCCAGGATGGTCTGTGTTCCTCTTCCTGACACACTCATTTAATTTTTAACTCACAAGGCATTTGCTTATTTATTTTCATTGTTCTTGATAATAATTCTAACCCATTAGAGGGGAAAATTATATTCAAAAATGCTGTTTCACACTTTATTTGTTTGATGATTTAGAGCGATAGAAAATAGCACATTTGCTGGCTTTTATAGTCTGATAATTATTCACATCCATCAAGCCATTCCAGGGGAATAAACAAAACACCAAGAAAATTACACTATTAATAGCGTCCTCCGTGGCAGACGGGAAGACTTTGCGGCCGGCATGGTGGAGTGATGATGTGGCCCCAGCCGAGGCTGGATGCAGCCCCCTTCTGATCTCCAGCCTGAAAAAGCCTGGCTTAGTCACACCAACTGCCTGGCTGCTGATGTCCCCTCCTGCACAGCTCAGACCCCACGATCAAGCTCCAGCTGCTTGACACCCTGAGCCCTAGAGATGCTTCTTCATCAGTCCCATGAACCTTGGCTAAGAAACACGCCATATGCAAGTGTCCCCGTCAGGCTCTGCTCCCTGCACAGCATTCTTTTCCTCTGGCCTCAGGCAGTGGCACCCAGGGGTCCAGTCTTTTTGGTATACCCCAGCTACCTTTCCAGGCCTGTCCTCTCCAACATAGTTCGACTCGGGTCACTCGGCATCGTTGGTCCCAGCCACACTCGAGATGGCCCAACCTCCATTCTTGCCCCATCGGCAGGTATGTGAGTTTTCAGTTTTGCCTTTTTGGGGTAGCAGTAACTGAGGGAGACACTCCCTACTCAGAATCCCTCAGGGAAGAAGCCTGAAGGGCAAAGAGCCCCTGCGTACCCTCCAGGCCCAGGATGTGACTTCGTTCTGTCCAGAGCTCATCCTTGCTCCACCTCTAGCATGTTTCCTGTGGCTTCTTGAAGTTTCAGCCTGCTGGTCAGTGTTTGTTTCTCCTCCATGGTGTGACTCACATGTCTTTGAGTCTCCAACTTGAGAGTGGCCAAGTCTGGACTTGACTCTTTCCTGGGCTTCCTGTAGGTCTCACACTGACACCCAATCTACGAACAGAAACCCTTATGCCTTCTGGCACATGATGCCTGCATGTGTCTCCCTCAGCCCCCTTGCTGTGGAATGAGGAGTTATGGACAACCAGTGTGGGTCACCTGGTGTGGTTGCCAGGGAGACCATTCTGCAGTGCTGGCTGGAAATGTAGAACCAAATTGTTCATGGGCTTCTCATTTTGAATCTTCCAGAAGTGTTTTGTACAAAATGTTCAAAAGCAGAGAGAAGGTGGGGCAGGTACAAATTCGGGACTGACGCCAAGGAAATAGCCATGGAGATAGTTCTAGGGGGTGACATGCTTCTCCTCAGAGGATTCCAATTAGAACCCTAACCCCAGGGACCCGAGTGACTTGCAGGGTAGCATCTCCCAAGAAGACCTTCTGCAACTGCCTCATTGGCTTTCTTAGCCCCTGTAGACACAGCCCATGACAGCCCACCCTACCCTTGCAGAGTCCATCCTCCGTCATGTTGAGACCCTGGCTCCAGACATACCCTGAAAGATGCCAGAAGGGTGGAGCATGCAGGCTGATGAGGCCCTGAAAGGTTTGGGCCTCCTTGGCTCTATGGGTAAACTGAGGCCAGCTCTGGAGGGGCACAGAGCTGGAGGACGTGGATGCTGCTGCCCGTGAGGAGCCTCTGGGCTGGTGGAGAAGAGGAAGTGAGGGAGCTCTGAGCCGGGTGATGTGGGGAAAGTGGCCAGCAGCAGCCAAGCAGCCCAGGGGTCAGGGAGAACAAGAGCAGGCCACTGTCCAGGGCTAACATGACCTGCCCCTGGAGGCACACTGGCCACAGGACTCAGAGATGCCATCTGTCCAAGAAAAATGCACACGAGCCCTTTGCTGCCATGTGAATGTGCTGCCATATTCACAAAGAGGCCACCCAGGGTCGCAGGCAGGCAAAGAAGATTGATTTGGGCCATGAAGTTTGACCTTGTGATGGGGACTGAGCTCACAGGGAGTGAGACAAACTGCCTCCCCTTGTAGGTGACCAATAAAACTGACTTTGTTTTACAGTCATAGAAATTGCTTGCTAATGGCTAGCCAGATGCCTGAACTGCTTGCAGGCTTCAGGAGCAAACATTTCCAAATCTGCGTGGCAGGGGTGCCCTGTGTGCCAAGAGGGGCTGGCTGGCATGAGGGCAATGCATGCTTAGCTCCTGGGACGTGTGTGCAGCAGGGCCCCGTGGAGGCTGTGCTCTGGTGCTCTAGGGCTTGGTGAAACTCTCCCATGGGGATGTTGACCCACACTCTGTGTGATCAGCCTTGTGACTGCAGCTTCTCACAGACGAGCACCATTCTCTCCCCCTCCCCCCAATGTGATCTGTACTGGCCACCTGAGTCCTTGAGCTGCTCAGCATTGTCAGAGAGCAAATAGTGTGCTGGCTTCAGTATGGAAAGATCCCTGCCACCCTCTCCTCACCAGGACAGCCCAAGCCCTTGTCTGTCACCTCAGCTTGCAAGGTTGGGCAGGCTGGCACATCCTCTGGCATCCGGTCCTCAGCCCCCTGAGGCTGCTCCTGGGTTGTTTCAGGTGGCAGGAGGTTCAGCTGCTCTAGGCACCGATGGCAGTGGGTCCAAAAGTCTCCATGGCTGCCGGCTTCCCATCCAAGTGCCTTTTTAATCTCCCTGGGGCCGCTCCTCTGCACGCTCGGCCAGTGGCCTGCAGGCTGTACTTTGTGATAACAGGAGCCACGTTCCAATGAATTAAACTTTTAACATCCACCAGATTCAATTAATCTTATCTTTACAACTCCCAATTACAGGCGGTAATTAAGTGAAGGCAGCATCGTGGACTGGGGATATTGCATTAATCATTGCAGCCTTAAAGCCATAAATCAGTCCTTCCCATCCTCCAGTGTCTTCCAGAAGAGGAGGCACAGTCCCTCCGCAAAGGGGCTTCGTGCTGGGATGAACTGGCTTATCCTTATGTAAATGATGAAGGCCATCCAAGAGAGAACAGCCTCAGCTTTGCCCAGACAATGGAAAATTCTCCCAACAGCTGCAGAGTTGAAGGTGCCCGTGGTGCCTTGGGCAGGGGCCCTGGGAGTGTGCCCAGAAATTAATTATTGTATTCTATTTAGATTAAAGGCGACAAGATGTTCAACTTATCTCCCACCCACCTCTTCTTTATTTTATTAGAAAAAGAACACAGGGCTTGGCTTGACTCAGCTCGACTCAGCTCCACTCAGCTTGGAAACGGCTGTAGTCAGGCCATGTTATCTCTGTCTTTCCCTGCTTTGTTCCTTTGCCACCCGAGGGCTGGAGGGAGAGATGTGTTGCGCCCCCCTTTCCTGACTCCACGTGTTCTAAAATGCTGTTCCTGTAGAGCAGTGCCTCTCATCCTTGGTGCCATGCTCCAAGCATGGGCATCCTAGGTTCTCGTGCACCTACTGAGCAGTGTCCCTAGCCTTCATCCATGCCATGCCAGGAGCTCCCCAGTCATTGCCATAGTTGCCCCCAGACATGCCCCAGTGTCTGGCCCTAAGGTTTTTGTTTTGTGTGCAGCCTCGGGACTCTGCTGTGCTGGCATATTGTTGACCCTGGGGCTTCCCAGCCCCCTCCCTGCCAAGCTGTGGCTCCAGCAACTGCTCTGACGGGAAGAGGCTCAGGCCACCCCACAACACCAGCTTGTGTGCCAGTGTTAGCGGCATGTCCCTCCTGTTGCATGTGATTGGAAACTTTCGACCTCATCTTTCTTCCTGATGATGGGGCTCATAACCTGTCAGATGTAAAATGTGTGAAAAGAAAACTGAGACCTAGGAGTGGGCAACAGGTGGAGTTTTCTCCTCCCAAAGCTGCTCTTCCCTGGAGTTCCCTGCAGGGAAGTGGAAGGTGCAGATTGGTGCACCAGCCAGACAGGGAGGACAGAGAGCTCCTGCTGGAGACGCTGGGGGCACCCACCAGCAGTGCTGGCTTGGGGCTTTTTATTTGAGGTTTTGTTGCTCTAGCCCCATTGGGCGTTAGTGCCACTTAGCTATCCTGGCATTTGCCAGCTGCCTCCATCCTTTGGGCTCATGGTTCTGAGTCCTCACTGCCCAGCCATCCCTGCTTGTTGCCTCCACTCCACCATGTGCAGCTACTGTCTGTCGATGTCCGTGCTTGGATGGATGTGTGCTGGTCACACAAGGAGCTTGATTGTCTCCTTTCTCTCATAGGTATGCCATCCCGCCGGAGCATGGCAAGCGCCTGGAGCGGCTGGCTATCGGTAGGTGTCTGTGTCACTGGCAGGCCAGGGTGGGACTGGGGCCTGGGACCAGTGGGCGGGCTGGAGGTGGGGAGAGCAGTGGCTGTCTACCCTGATTAGCTGCCATTTGGGTTCTGGTTGAGGAGGGGTTCCTGCTCCCAGGTGTTGCTGTCTTCTTCTTTCCTTACTCGGTGGTAGTGAGATCCACAGCCTTGCTGCGTGCTTTGTCTTGTTCTGACTCCTTCTTGCTCCCCTCCCCCCACTCCATCCCAACACACGCACTGCTGTTGTCGTGAGTGCTTGTTTTCTGTTCTCACTATGAAGGCCAGGCCACAGGTAGCATTGCTTTGCCGCCTTCTGCACCTGCCTTGTCTAGTCTGGGTTGAACTCAGGTCCCTTGCCTGTGCTAGAAGCTGGTAAGTGACCCAGGCTGGCTGTCCTAGCATCCTCAACAGAGCTCTCCATCTGTGCCACTGACCTGTATTCACACCTTCTCTGGGGACATGTGTGAACATCCTGGGCCAGGTGGGTTGGAGGCCCCCAGCCACCCCAACAGAAGGCTCTGGGGCAGTGGAGAGAGTGACGTCCCCATATCAGCTCTGTGTCGTGGCCTGGAGAAACCTCAGCTCCCTGATATCACACAGCTCCCAAGTGCCTAGAAGGATGTTACATGGCTTACCATTGCCTGCTGGGGCTGCTAGGGCCAAGTCCCTAGGTCCCCTCATTGAGAAATGACAGAGCACTGCTCCCAGATCTGGAGGCTGGGACTCAATGGCCAGTGAACTTGGTGTCTGGCAAAGGCATGTTCCTCACCAGGGGTGCCAGCCATGTGTTATTACATGGCAGGAGGAACGGAAAGGTTCCTTCACCCTCGTATGTAAGGGCTTAAATCTCCATCATAAGCCCTATTACCTCCTAGGGGCTCTACCATATGTGCTCAGGTTGGCCTTGAACTTGCAATCCTCCTGGCTCTGCCCACTGAGTGTTGGGATTTTAGGTGTGTGTGCAACCATGCCGAGCTAACCATGTTTTAATACCATGACAGTAGAGTGTGAGTTTCAACATAAGACTCTGGAGACCCCCATGTTCAGATCACAGCAGTCCTAACTGGCTGAGAGGGTCTTTATCACTCATGTCAGCTAAAGAGCCAGGCCTTAAACAGAGCTGCTCCTTCCCATGCTGGCCAGGTAGGGTGACCTTGGTGCCAAGTGGAGGCAGTGAGGACTCCATTGTTCTGCAAGCTGACCTGACCATCTGATCATCCGATCATCCTGCCTCTCAATGGCCATAGCCAGTGGCCCAGGGCCCCTGAAAGCAGCTGCAGGCCTGTCTGGAAGCCCATCCTTAGCTTGGCACAGGTTCCTGCCTGGCTGGCAAATGCCTAAGCACACAGGCCATACCTGTCCATAAGGATGAAGGGAGGCTCATGGAGTGGGGAGGTGTTTGCGCCGGGCCTCTTCAGGCATAGCACAGGTTTGTGGCTTGGCTGCCTTTTCTAGCATTTCAGTGGGAAACAGGCCCTCCTCTGTGGGAAGGCCAAAGCTTAGGTTTAACAACACTGTGTCTCGTGGAAGTTCTGTAGTTATAGACCATTCACAGTAGAGGCTGTCTCACTCTGGCTTATAGCACCAAAGTAAAGCTTTCTCACTGGGTTATTAATGCAGAGTTGAAGTACAAAGTCTCATTTGAAAATAAAAGCTACAGCGGGGCACTGGTGGTTCATGCCTTGTAATCTTATCTCCTTGGGAGGTCAGGAGGATCACTGCTCAAGGCTAGCCTGGGCAAATAATTTTTAAGACCCTATCTTGTAAATACCCAACACAAAAAGGGCTGCCAGAGTGGCTCAAGTGTTAGAGCACCTGTCTAGCAATTGTGAGGCCCTGAGTTCAAATCCCCAGTACTGCAAAACAACAACAAAAATCTGTAGAAATGGTTCCCCATTGTGTTAGCTTCCTGATGATGTTATAACAAATAACCATAATCTTTAGTAGCTTTGAACAACCAAAACTTAAGAGTTCTGTAGGTCAGAAGTCCCAAGGTCAAGGCTGCAGCATGGTGGCCCTCTGTCCCCCATTTCCCAGATCCTAGAGGCCCCACATCCCTAGGCTCTGGACACCTTCCTCCCTCTTCAGAGCAGCAGCAGGGTTTCCCAATCTCTGCCTCTGACCTCCTGCCTCCCTCTCCACCCTGTAGTGATGCTGGGCCTGGAATAAGCCATGGCGATCCAGTTCTGGGTCCTTTGCGTGATCCTGCCTTGCAGAGTCCCTTTCATCCCCAAAAAAGGCAAAATAGTCACAGGTTCTAGGGTCTTGGGGAGACATGATTTAGCCAACCACACGTGTACACAAATATTCAGCACAGGTGCTCCCTGAGGACCGAATCACAAAGGCCGCCTTCTCCTCTCCACTTACACTGAGTTCTTCCAGTGAGCTGCATCTGTGCGTCCTTGCTCAATGTGCCTTTTCTGTTGGAAAAGAAAGTGAATTTCAGGCTGGCCTGAGAGCAACTGGGAGAGCCACAGTCGGGATCTCAGGGTGATAGCCCACCTTGGATGCCACATCTTCTTTCTGGATCTTTCCCCGGGCTGGCCAGGGACCTGGGTGCCAGTCTGGCGTCCTGGCAAAGCCAGCAAACTGGGAAGCAGCTCTGTGTAGGCTTGCTGCTGTGGGTTTAAAAAAAAATTCCTGACTCACCTTGTCCCTCCTCCGCAGGGGGAGCAGCTGCCAGAGCTCAGGAAGTGGTTCAGCCACTGACCCAGAGGAGGGGCAAGAATGGAGAGAGGCGGGCACAGCAGAGTCATGCTGCCTTCCTCTGCAGCCTCAGGCTTAGGCCCTGCCAACTTTTGGGGGGAATGCACCCGTGCTCCCTCGCAGAGCTGAGAGTAACGGCTTGTGATTAATAATGGAGAATGAATAGCTGCGCTCCAAATGGGCTCGCGGGGAGAGTTGTGGGGCCCACAGAGAGCACATTAATGTGTTGGTGCATTATTGGTGCTAATCACTTAAAATGTGTGCCTTTATTAGCGCTTTAATGAGAGCCACTTAAACTGCGCATTAAAAAGAGGAACTGCAGCGCGGCCAACGGCCGGTGGCAGGCAGTCATAATTCTAATTGAAATGCTTTTAACGCCAGGGGAAGTTGCGGATACAGTGATCCCTTGTACCTTAGGAACCCGCCATTGTGTCTTTCCTCTTGGCCCCTCTGCCAGCACCGAGGGCTGGAGCCCCATGTGTCTGTGTGCCTGCACATGCATGTGCCCTCTAAGTGGTGACCCACTGAGGATATGTGCTGGCTTGAAGGCTGGGGTTTGGGTGGGCTTCCGGAATGATCCCCGGGCCGGTTGTGGCTGTGGATCCACCCAGGAAGCTGTTCATGCCCACGAACACTTGCTCTCCCACTGCCTGACACCCCACCACTGTACTCTTCACTGTTCCCCTCTCAAAGTTGCAGGCTGATGGGGTACAGGTGCAGCCTGTATGTTGCTGACCAACCCCATAGGGTGAGCAGTACAAGGGAGCCAGAGTGGCCCAGGCCAACTCCTGTCTCTGCCTGCCCTCGTGGCCTCCTTCCTCCTGAGCTCTCTGCATCCTGCATAGATGAGCAGTGCTGGGCAGAGCTGGGGCTGAGCAGGAGGCACCTGAGTGCTTAATTAGCAAGTCTCCACATGCTATCCCACTTGGCCCCAGGGTGCTGTTTCTGCCCATGAGAGCAACCAGCTTCCACCGCAAGCATACCCCTCCTCAGCAGGGGCCTGCATTCCACCCCAAGGGTGCTGGCTCCATGGTGGATGGTGGCCAGGACTCACTGTTGGGATTCCCAGGACTTCACTTGAACCATGAATGCCTCTGCCCTTCACCAGAGCTTCAGCTAGCAGGTGCTTTGGAAGAAGCCCTGAACAGGGCTGGTTAGGGGACAGTCAGGAGGAGGCATGGCCAGTGCCGAGTTCCTTACACTTCCCTACCTGTTAAGTCAGTCAAGTGGTCTGCTTGGAGGATAGGAGGCGTCCCCAATGATAACTCAGACTGTCCCCCTCATGGTGGTGAGTGCTGGCCATTTCTCAGCTGGCCTTGGGCTAAGGCTGGGCTGGCTGGTGGATTGGGCTGTCCAGTGGAAAGGCAGCGAGCCCCACAGGGTGTCAGAGCCAGGTAACAGCAGTGAACCCTGGAGCTGTCTCAGGCCGGGTTTGTGGTTCTTCCCAAGGTTTGCTCCTGCCTGAGAAGAAGGAACCTAGGTCGGGGTGCTGCTCACTTCCCACAGTTCCTAGTTTATGGGGCCCCAGGATATCAGCTTCTGGAGGAGAGCGGCCACGCCATCTCTCCCGTCTGGGCTCAGGGTAGTGGGGGGACTGTTCCCCTGGTGACACTATGGACTTTGTCCAGGAGCCTGGAGGGAGGCTTCCATACAGCTGTACCCAAGGCTTGGTTATAGGATAACCTGCCCCTTCCCATGGGGCCATGGCTCTGGGCTGCAGCCAGTTGTCCCACCAATGGGTCAGGACCTGGGTGGGCACTGGCCAGAGTCTGTCCACCTCACTGTTCACCCTAGCAGAGCCCCACAGTGTTGTGTGGAAAGGCCATGTGTTCTTGTCCAGGCCCTAAGACACAACCTTGGGTCTGAGGCCACCCTGCTCCTCCTGGGGAAACACTGATGCCACTCTCTCCTGGATAGGCTTCTTTCCTGGGAGCTCACAGGGCTGCGATGCCTTCCTGCGCCACAAGATGACCCTCATCTCACCCATCATCCTGAAGAAGTACGGGATCCCCTTCAGCCGGGTATGTACGGACTGAGACGCCCACAGCAAGAGGGGCTCTGGACCAGGCCAGCTGGCCATGAATGCCCAGGAGGCAGTCCTCCTAACCAGGATCGAGTTCTAGAGCAGTGGCCAGCCAGGGAAGAGCATTGGCTCTGCATTGCCTCCTCATTGCCTCTAGCCCCTCTGCTGGGGAGTGAGGATGTAGAAGGAGTGGTCAGGTGGGGTCTTAACTTGCCTCCCCCCTCCCCTAAACCAGACAGAATCCTCTGTCCCAGTATGGCCACTCGGGGCCTCTCTGCATAGCCAGCAGTCCCATTGACTTGCCGGGAAGCCACCAACAACCCTGAGGGTAGGTCCCCTGGCTGCCTGGCCTGGCTGCCTCTGCTGAGTGAGTGAGCACCTATTTAGAATGGACTGTGGGCTCTCCTGACCATGCAGACTGTGGGCGCTTTTGCAAGTCCACACAGGGGCTACAGAGAATGAAGTCTCTGCAAGGGGTGGTGGGAAAGTGGGGGCTCCTTGCACCTGGGAGCTCCTTGCAAACCTGACACCTCAGGTTTGCAGACCCAGAAGCTCTAGTGTCCTTGGGGAGGCCGGCTCCACTTTCAGCTGCCACCTACCTAGCGCTGCCACCCTAGGCCTCTCCATTCCCATGCCAGTCCTTTTTTGGCAGAAAAGTCCAGATTTACATCCCCAGGTTGGTCCATGAGAAGGCACATGCCCAGAATCTTTCTAATGGCCTGAGTGGACACTGGGCCACACATTGAGTACCAGGCAGGAGAGAAGGCCCTTGGGATAAGCCATTTGTGTGAGAGCAGTTTGTCAGGCCCAGGAGCAAGTCCTGTGATGAGACCTTTTGCTCCCCTCCCCTGTCACGTGCAGTGAGGCACGTTGGAAATTGCTCTGACATTTCAGTCACCCGCCTGCAGCATCGGCATGGGGATCGGGATGGGGATATGTTTTTAGAGTTGCTCTGAGGAATGTGGGCGCTCGTGTTCCCTGCTCCCCTGTCTTCCGGCCTGAAGATTGTTCGTTACCAGGAAACCACAGTCAGATGGCGGCATCGCTCACTTCCATGAACAATGCTGAGCTTCTAGCCACTTTGTCAAGAACATTCTCCAAAGCAGTGCTTCCTGGAGAGGGAGGCCTATGGACCAGTGAGCCGTCTACTTCTTCCTGGGCCTGCATTTAGAAGACGCTACAGTGTGTGCATAAAACACTAGACCCAAACTGGCCAGCTCACCTCCAGCTCCAAAGGGGCTGCTGATGTCTGAGGGCTGCACTCCCTCACTCCTGCCCTGGATGACCCAGGGACCAGGCATCCTTGTCTCCGGAGGCCCCTGAGGTTGAATGCCCATTTCTGGCTGGTGGAAAGCAGCTTGCCTAGGCCATCTGGGGTCCAGACAGTGGCCCAGCCCCTCAGGAGTGCTGGTCAGGAGATGGATATCCCTAGCAAGTGCAGTATGGGTCCCTTTTCTCATCTGAATTCCTGGCTCCCTTCAAATAAGTGACTCCCTGCACTGTGCTTATAAATCTTTGTAATGCTATTTCCTTCTAGAAGGAAAAGCAGATCAATAGCAGGGCTTTTTAATAATTAAAAGTGTGTACTTACGTGATCTGCCATTGACTCCTCATTTATCCTGTGAAAGCTTGTGGACAATACTGTGTCCCAGGCTTTCCTGTGAGTGGCAGTGGGGCTGGCGTCCCTTTGCCACTGATGATTTTGCTGTGCACCTATCCATCATTCCAAACGCCTGCTGATTTCTTGTCAGGTACAGTTGATGGCATAACATGAAGGACAGACACCGAGATACCGACGTTCTGACAGAACATAATCTTCCTGTTGCTGTAACCTGGTGTGCCCTCTGTCCTGGGCTCCCTTCATGGGAGGGGCTGAGTGGGTGAATGAGGCCCGGTGTGCACCCGAGCCTGGCTCCTCACTGCCACCCCTCACATCCAGCTTTCCAATTTGGTGTCGGCTCCCGGCGCATGTCACACTGCCCGCCAGGCCTGCAATAAGAAGGTGATGTCCAGCTTGGGGTTCCAGGAAGAGCCATAAGGGTATTCCAGGGGCAGCCTGACAGGGTAGGAAAATCAGTGATGGCATTAAAAACAAGCAAACAAACAAAAAGCCCAAAACCTTGCTTTTCCTTGGAGTGAAGCCTGAGAATCCAGGCTGTGATGGCGGGTGCTAGGGACTAGGGGACACCAGTGTGTTCTCCCCTCCCCACTTCCCACCATACACTCCATCCTGCCATGGTAGCTGTCACTTGGACGGGAATTTAAAAATACAACTTAATGCACAGTGACTTCCCGTGATTGGTGCAATTAATTATTTGAAAAGAAAAGTATCACGGTGTTGTGAGAGACTGGCTTTTCTCTGGCAGTACTGGGTTTGATTGATCTTTTTGAGCAGCTGGCTCAGAAAAAGCCCCCCACCCCCATCTGTCCCACCGTGCCAGCACCTCCACCCCGATTACCTAGATGGATCCAGCAGTCTCTGAGCCTCCCTCTGGGGGAATAAACACAGATTAGCAGGCCTGAGGACATTGATGAAGTGACAGTAAGATGATGAACAGCCCGAGAATAGGGGAGAAAGTGTCAGCAGACACTTGACCAAGATATGTGCCAGTCAACCAACATGACCTGGTATTCAGCTCAGTGGATTTCTGAGAAAGGCAAGAAACCAGAGGACCCCCACCCCCAGCCCCAAGCATGGACATGCGTGGTACTGAGAGATTGCCAAATGGTGACAAGGAGGGAGCAGCAGGAATGGACAACGCCACACTACTGGGCAGTCCACTGGAGGCTCAGAGGCTCCCCATGCCCCAGCAGTCCCCTCTGGACTGTGCACTCCAGGGAAGTGGAAATACATGTATGGGAAAATTCGAGCATGTGACCACATAACTTTCTTGACGTCCCTACACTGGATACAGCACACGTGGCCTTCAACAAGGGATTGGATATATGAATAGCGGTATATCCGTGTGACAAGCTTGAGTTTAATGAGGAAGAATGAATTGTTGTTCTCACAATGTGGGAAGGAGCCAGGCATCCATGCTGAGCGAGATGTCAGCACACAAGCATGCAACCCGACCTCAGAGCCCCTTCCGCTCTGTAGGCCTCAGCATCCGCTTCTGCACATTGGCCCTACAGCCCTGTCTCCAAGGAGTGTGTAGCCCAAATCCCAGAGTGGGTGGGACAGTGGCTGCTACTTGACATCAGTCATTCTCGAGTGTCACACACTGGTGACAACTTCTGTTTCCTTCTGTGGCCCCACTCGTCACACTCAGGCCTACCCTGTGGCTGGGGTCTCTGTTTCAGGAATAGTGTGTCCAGGCCAGTGTAGCTGGCAGGTAGCTCCACAAACTTTTGATGGCGGCATCAAGACCCTACAGTCTGGGTGTTCCTTTGCATTTTGACTGCTCATAGTCTGTTCGGGATGCAGTGGAAAGACTGTGCTCTGATGGCATGTCTCCCAGCATGTTGTGTGCACAGCTAGAGGCTCCTTCACACGGAGGAAGGACGCATGCTGTCCTACCAATGGCCTCATCTGTTCTCAGAGGGTCATGGCTGCCACCAGCACCGTCTCCTATGTAGGAACTTGTCACATGGCTGCAAGTATAGTGCAGTCCCTACGAAGCAGGAGGCCCCACCCTCACCATGGGCCTAGCAGTCCCTGGGTCTGCAGTACTGTACAGAAGGATGCTGGCTGTTTCTGTCATCTTGGGGTGGACATGGAGGGTCCATGATGAGCCTGCAGATCTGCTTCATGCTTGCAAAGCAGACACTCTACAGCTTGAGTCACACCTCCAGCTCATTTTTGCTCTGGTTATTTTGAATATAGAGTCTCCAAAACTGCTTGCCCTAGCTAGCCTGGAACCTCCATCCTCCTGATGTCAGCCTCTCAGTTAACTAGGATTACAGGTGTGAGCCACCAGTACCTGGATGTCTTTTGGGTTTTGGTGGTTTTGTTTTTGGAGACAGGGTCTCATTGTGTAACCAAACTCAGGATCATCCTCTCTATGCCTTCCAAGTGCTGGGATGACAGGTGTCAGTTCCTAGCTGCAGGGAGCTAGGAGGAGCTGCCTGGAACCATACTGGTTTGTCAAGTCAGGGCTCCTGACACCTGTTGAAGTCTCAAGCCCACATCCCCCTGCTGTGCTCATTGGCAGCTCCCTGTGGTCTTGGCTCCTCTCCTGTTGGCCTTGTCCCTCGCCTGTCCTCCTCCTTCCTCACCTGCCTTACTTTGCCTCCTTAGATCACGCAGGAGGCTGGAGAATTTATGATCACCTTTCCCTACGGCTACCACGCTGGATTCAATCATGGATTCAACTGTGCAGAGTCAACCAACTTTGCTACACTGCGGTGGATTGATTACGGCAAAGTGGCCTCTCAGGTAGGCTCTGTGTGTGGCAACAGTGGCTCTTCTCACCCCCGCGGCTGAAGTCCAGGGCATCTCTGTTACTGCTTGTCCAGCCTGGGCCACGTGTTCTTCATGGGTCTGTGTCTGAGTTCTCAGAGAGCCTGTCCTAAAACATTCCTTGACTCACAAACTGGGGAGGGGAGCGGGGAGCGTGTGAGTCCCAGGGCAGTGCCCGTTGTCTTCTGCCTCCCACCTCATAAAGGGGCTGGTTGTACCTGGGGCTTGGTGGGCAGCTCTGGCCTTGGGGTCTGGGGCTCTCCTCAGAAACACTTTTCCCATCGTGGTTGACTTTATGGGCATGTCTGATAGTCACTAGTCCTTAGGGTGGGGAGTTCCTTTGTTATAGTTGACTGTTCTGTGGGTCGTGCAGCCAGACCCTGCCTGTTCAGGTGTCGTCTTCCCACCTGTCTGTCTCCTTGCTGGGGTTCTCTTGAGTGGCTAAGAACCTCTGTGACTAGGGGTTCTTGGGAGTGACGGATGGGAAGGCAGGGTTAACTTCTTCCCAGGACCTTGCCGCTCCTGGTCTCAGGATCTGCTGTCACACACAGATCTAACATCCGCACTGAACTGTGGCCCTAGAGTTCTTTTTAAGCCCACATGCGCCATCTGTGTATTACTGTCAGCCTGGTGGGTGTGCGAGGCCATGTGGGATGCCTGAGAGCTGCAGGAATGCAGCAGGCTGGGGCCTGGGCAACATGGGCAGGGCTGTGAGTACCAAACTCAGGAAGGGTGAGAGAACTGGAGCCCAGGAAGTGGGTTGTGATAGTGGTGGGCCCAGCTTCTGCTCCAGCACCAGCAGGTGGCCCCCTCTGTCCCTGCAGGCCATTGTTGCCTGTTCTAGCTCTCTCCATCAAGCCGGCATGGCTACACTATTCTTCAAGGCTGAATGCCCAGCCTGTCCTGACCCTTCTGCCTCCACTGTCACCAGCATAGTTACTCTCAGTTCAAGGGCCATGTGGCTTGTTAGGATGTGGGGGAGCAGTAGAACCCCACTAGCCACCAGGACAGTGAGAGCTGGTGCATCTGCTGTGCCCACATGCAGAGCTCCTGCTCCCTCTGGGTCAGGAACATTAGGGAGGTATGAGAGGAGAGAGCCTCAGGCCAGGTCCCAAGGGTCACACATGCTGTAAATAGCAGACCTAGCAAGGATGCTGACCAGTGCATAGCCACTCAAAGTGCGGCTGAGTGGACTGGAGAAGTGCCTTGAGTATAAACCCAGGCAAAGGGCACAGAGGACATAAAACACCTCACATGTGCATGTCTATACTGTGCACATTAACTGGTAGCTTTGGATATATTGGGTTAAAGAAAATACGCTATTAAAGTGAATTTTGCCTGTTCGTTATTAGCGTGTCTCCTAGAAGACAGCGCTGTGTAGATGGTGGCTCATGTTGCATTTCTCCTAGGCAGCCTAGCCCAGATGACTTGGGCCCCTTTACTTCTCTAGATATTTGTTTTGCTATCTTCGCTATTGTGCACAGTTTGGGGGTGAGCGCTAAGGATGAAAGTCAGGGCCTGGGCCCACTAAGCCATACCCCAGTTTGAAAGGGAATGAGCTGAGTGGTAAGGGAGACTCGGACTCTTCAGAGCTTGGACTCAGGCATGGTGTTAGGGTGAACTTTACAATGGACTGAGCTTGGCTGGAAGGAGGGGATAGGAAGTCAAGATCCCTTTGTGATGTTAGGACTGCGTGTGACTGCAGTGTGCTGCCCCAGGCCCACTCTGGTGCAGGGGCCCTGTCTGCACTGTGGCCAGCCTGCAGCAGATTGAGTTGTGAGCCAACACCACTGTGGGCCTGCCCAGATATTACAAGCAATTTAGGTTTCAGCCATGTGTCACAATAAGTAGCATTGGGGAGCGCAGCCTGGATTGGGCTCCACGCTTCTATTGTTAGATGGCGTAGCGTGGAATTACTGAGCAAGTAGCGAGTGGCATTCACAGCAAACCCAGGGTTCAAGACAGGTGGCCTGGCACTCAGCTCCCTCTCGGGGCCCCTCAGTCACCCCAGCCCCTGTGTGGGCAGACCCTGTATGGTCTGTAGGCACCCCTACACAGGTCAGGTCCACCAAAGAGAGGAGGTGGCCATGGCCACTCCCAGGCTCTGGGGTGGGTACTCAGGCAGCCAGACCCCACCAACCAGGTGGTTGCTGCTCCTGAGTGCACTGGCTAGAGGCAGGTAGGGTGCTTCACACCATGGAAGGCAGGACAGATGAGGATAGGAAGAACAGAAGGATGGGGAAACCCAGAGCCCTCCCTCTTCTGTGCCCTGGTCCCCTCCACGTACCTCTGGACCAGCTGCTTCTTGCACATTCAGTGGAGGGAACCCAGGGAAGGTCCATCTCCTACATTTAGAGGCTGCTTTCCTAGTTGACTTGCTCCCCTTTTTCTGACCTTGTGGGACTTCCTGTCCACATCCCCATCTGTCTTTCTCCTGCTAAAGACACCCTTCTGCCCAGCTGGCCTCTGTCAATTCAGGCATTTGTTCAGGGGCGCAAACAGCCCCACAGGCAGCCTGTCTTCAGTCTGCAGTACAGAAGGGATCTCTACAGTTTTAAAGGGCTGGAGGGAAATCAAAAGAACACGTGGCCTGTGGCAGTTACATGGAACTCAAGTTCCATGTTCCTGGGCACATGTTGGGGCACAGATATGCGTGGCCAATGCTGCTGTCTCCCTGCAGCTCCGGGGTTGAGAGGTTTGTGGAGCCCACTTGGCCTGCAGAGTCTGGAACACTCACAGAGTATGGAAGCCCTGGTCTGTAGGAGCCTGAGTTTGGGCCTGGTCTGGCGGCCCTTCCTACTGACCCACAGCCTTTGTCTGGAGTATGGATCAACATTCCCTTGTACTGGGTAATGAAGAGCTAGGCCTCTTTGTCGTGAATCAGAGCCAAGCCCCTTTGCCTGTGGGCCTGAGAATGAGCCCATAGACAGGCCTCCAGAGTCCCCAAGGGAATGAGAGGCTGCAGGGGACAAGGAGAGGGCTGCAGTCACAGGTACAGGACAATGATAGGAGCCTTCTGCACCCTTGAGAAGGGGGAGTGGGGACTGCCCTGCCCATAATCATCCACCAGCCAGCAAGTATAAGGAAGAACATGCTGTCAGAAATGAAAGGGTAGGGTAGACCAAACCTAGGGAAACAGGCCTTACTGTCCCTGCCACACAGTTGCCAGTAGGAAGGAATGGGGCTCTGATCCACATCACAGCATGGAGGGGCCTTGTGGACACGGTGCTCAGTGAGAGAAGCAGACACAAAAGGCCCTATTGTGTGTGACTCCATTGATAGGAAATGTCCAGAACAGGGAATCCACAGATAGAAGGTGGACTTGTGGGGGCCATGGGCCAGGGAAGGGCTGAGTTTCCTTTTGGGGTGATAGGAACTTCTGAAACTAGATGGTGGTGATGGTCGCACAACTCTGTGAATCATGTTCTAGAAATTGTTGAGTTGTACACCTGACACAGGCAAATCTCTATAGTCTGGAAATTGCATCTCTGAAAATCCTGCTGTGACAATTTTGAAAGTAGGATGAAATGGTCTTATCCCCATCAGTTCCTTCCAGACCAAGAAGACTTATCTGGGGTAAAAACAGGCAAGGAGGTGCACAATGGCAGAAGCTCACAGGGGGTTGGATGGAGCATAAGTATTCTCCACTTTGAGGTAGGTCAACACTGGTGACCTCTTCTTTCATCTCCAATGTGGGGAATTGGGAGACCCAGGGCCTTCTCCCACCAGCTGCTTACGTGAGTCTCCCTTGAGCTTGGCATTTCTTTCTCTGGGACAAGCACATGGATGTCTAGGGCCTTGCTGGTTACAACAGTGGGAAAGTGACATACAGGAACCAAGGGAATACTATGCAGCCATGATGATGAGTACACCTGTGGGATATGCCCCATCTTTACTCACATGGAGTGGTGGGCTTGGCAACTTTGACTCAAACAGTAGAACATGAGTGTGACCTTCCATGTTCATGGGCACTTTCTCCAACATTGGTAGAAGGTGGTGTACATTACAGCACATTTTAATCATGCTTGCAACCTTTCTTTTTACCCAGGAACTCTTTGGTTAGAGTGGTGCAGTTTGGGGCAAGGAGCGGCCTTGGCCGTGGCTGGTGTCTTTGGCCAGAACCCTATGGCTGTAGCATGAGGGGCTTTGCTGTCCTCAGTGGTGGTTTTGTTGCTGTGATTTTGCAGTGGGAATTTAAAATCAACCAGCTAAACCAGGAGCCGTGGTGGGACACCAGACCCTACTCTCAGCCTGGGCCCTCCGGGCCACCTCCCCTGCCTCAGGACAGCATGGGATCCTGAGGGAGGGGACTCTAGAAGGGTCAGCAACCCAGCCTGGCTGAGCATTGCTGCCACCTACTGTGTGCACAGGAGTGTCAGGGACAGGGTAAGCATAGAGCCCCCGCCAAGCCCCGTGCGTTACCAGGTCACCTGTCCTCCAGAGGCACAGCTGTCACACCCTTGGTGGTGAGAGGACCTCTCTCAAAATGATGTCAACTCCTCCGAGATGTGCTCACCCTGGACTGGCCACCTAACAGCACAGAGGCCTACCCTCCCATCTCCCTCACTCACCTGCTTAGAGGTGTGAGCCCATGGGGTACAGGAGATGACCCCTCCCTGCCCCAAGAATCCCCAGGCTGGGCTGTATCCAGGCAGAAATGGGCACAGCTGGCTGTGGGGCCTGAAGCTCAACTCTGCTTCCCAGGAAGAGCCGCAGGCTTTGTGCTAGCTGCTGATAGATCAAAGGGATGCTCCTGTCTCCGTGAGGCGATGGAAACATGCGTGTGCACAGCAGCCCTTCTCAGCTGAACTTCACTGTGCAAGACTACTGCCTGGTGTGTCCCAGGATGGCCTGTGCAGTTGGCAGACAGAGCGCCTCTTCTCCAGAGCTCTGGACTCACCAGCGTCCCTGACCCACCTGCCAGGCAGAGGTGGCGCAGATGAAACAGCAAGCAGGATTTAAAGTGCCATTGGCAG